AACACACACAGACACATTGCCTGAATACCTTTTTAATTTTTATACCCTACACAACTATGTTGTCAGGGTATTATACGATCGTCATATCTCGACTAGCTGAGTCGATCTAGACATGTGTGTCCGTCCGTCCGTCTGTCCATTATAATTTGTAAAAACGATAGAGGTCACAGTTATGGACCAATCTTCACGAAATTTTCCATGTAGAATGGGTTCTGGCCAATGAAGACCCCTATTGTTTTTGGTAAAGATCGGTTAATATTCAGGGGATGAAATGGACCAAATACTAAATTTTTGTCGGTTTTTTTTTGGTCCCTCCTGATTCCGCAATTATGGCCCGAACAACGTGAACATTTACATGGAGAAGGGGATTGGGTCAAAGAAAAAGCATGCCTGTTTTGATAAATATCGGCAAATATTTAGCGGGTCAAATGGACCCAGACTTTTGTGTGAAAATGACAAAATTTTGTATTTTATAGCATATATATTTACTCCTGTAGGACATAGACCCGAGAGGTTGATATTATATCCGAGAAGAGTGGTTGACCTTTAAATTGATACCAATTATATTGTGGTATGTACTCGGATGTGGGAGTTACACTTAAATATTTACAGGTGCTTAGGTATTCATATATAATTTAGTAACCCATTACCACATTAGAGGTCGGAAATATAGCGCTGATCGCTTTGAAATTTTCCATGAGGATCCTGGTATGGTCAAGGATAATGCCTATAATTTTCGGTGATGATCAGATTAAAATTTTGGGATGAACTGGACCTAGAACTTAATTTTTTGTATTATTTTGAGTCGATCTATAGGCCCATCTCTGCCCATCCATATCGATAACCGAAGAAACTCAGAACTATCGATAACCGAAAAAACTCAGAACTCAGAAACTCAACATGGAGTACATGTTGGACTCCGAATGTGATTTTTAAGAGCTACTGAGCTAAGTTCAAAAGCATAACATCGCAAGACAACCCACGGTGAAGGGAATATGACCTCTAATCGGTCAAGAGTGTGGAAATATATCGAAATATTGCCCAAGCTCAGAATATAGAACCACCTCTTGAGACTGTATGTCAATTGGTGATTGGTCAGGTGCTCCACATTGTGGATACAAATCTGGCCAGGCCGGCTCACCACTGTATGTCCATTCACCTAGACAGACAAATGACACAACAGTCACAATTGTTAGTTTGGGATTGCAGTTAAAAAGTTTACAGCCAGCAGCTGCACTTACCATTGATACCACAGCAAGCAAACGAGGATAATAGGAAAATGCTCAAAAACGTTTTCATTTTGGTGGAGAGTAATGCTGTTGTTGGTTGTTGATTTGATCTGATTAAGAAGTTGCAAATGTACTGAATATATATTCTTGAATTTCTGGTGTATTTATGCAAAATTATAAGCAATTTAGCAATGGTATATACGTTGAGTTGCACTGATGAACTCATCCGAATTTTCTATAGGTCCGTGTCGAGATAGCAAAAGGCAAGTGTCCGATTCCACGAATAAATTCAAAATCATGGGACAAAGATAGACATATGTAATCATACAATGCCATATATTGGAAAATCTGACAAGTCTATCAGTTCTTGTAGTTTTCTTCGATTCGATGAGAATAACAATGACACATCGAAAATTAGAGAAATATTTCACCCTTCGGATAATTTTGTTTGAATTATATGCGCCTTATATATGCAGTGATGACTGATCATTACATACACACGACAAATAATTTGTATATGAATAGTGTTCGGAAAGTGTTGGCAATATCCGGATTTCTGTATTTTATGAACGCAGTTCATAAAACTTTACATACTGGTTTCAGAGACATAGTATGAGAGAGAGAGGGTGAAAATAAATATTTGAAGTGCGTGTGTTTGGTGGTGGCGGGTTTTCTTTTATGTCACAGACAATTCTCGTTTTAATTTTCATACCCTACACAACTATGTTGACAGGGAATAATAGCTTTGTGCAGCCCCAAGAGTTTGTAACGCCGCGAAATATTGGTCCTAGACCCACCTTTAAGTATACCGATCGTCATATCTCGATTTAGACATGTGTGTCCGTCCGTCCGTCTGTCCATTATAATTTGTAAACACGATACAGGCTACTGTTATTGACCAATCTTCACGAAAGTTTGCATGTAGAGTGGGTTCGGGCCAATAAATACCCCTATTGTTTTTGGTAAAGATTGGTAAATATTTAGGGGATGAAATGGACCAAAAACTTTATTTTTGTCCAATATTCTGGTCGATCCACAGGCCGCAATTATGGCCCAAACATTACGATTTTTTACATTTAGAAGGGTATCCGTCCAAAGAATAAGAATGCCAGTTTTTATAAAGATCGGTCAATATTTAGAGAGTCAAATGGACCCTGACTTTTGTGTGAAAAAGTACAAGTTTTGTATTCTATAGCGTATAGATTTTCCCCTGAAGGACATAGACCCGAGAAGTGTTGTTATATCCAAGAGGAGTGGTTGACCTTTAATTTGATACCAATTATATGGTCGTATGTACTCAGATGTGGGAGTTATACTTAAATATTTACAGGTGTTTACGTACTGAGACAATATTTAGTAACCCATTACCATGCTAGAGGGCGGAAATAAAGGGCTGATCGCTTTGAAATATAGGGCTGATCGCTTTGAACATCACAACACACGGTGAAGGGAATCTGGACAAGTAATTAGAAGTGCTGTACTTAATACTGGGAATATTCGGAAAATATGTCAGTGTAAGGAAGAGGTGGCGTTGATCTCTAATCGGGCAAGAGGGTGCAAATATCACGAAATATTGCCCAGGCTCGGAATAAACATCCGCAGAATGTTAGAGTTCCGTGGTAGTTGTGTAGGGTATCGTATGGTCGGTCCCGTCCGACTATACTGCTCCGCTCACTGGTTTTATTTTGATATTATATTGTTGTCTCTTCCTGGTTTTGTCTCCTTTCTTCATATTTAATTACTTACATTGTTCGTGTTTTGTGTCACAATTTGAAGAATCTATTCAATTTAAAACATTCCGTAGGGCTTTTTGTTTTATAGAACCAATTCAAAGAGTGGAATGGAAAAATAGAAACACAATCGGTGGATGTTAAAAAAGAAAAATGTTAATCAAACAAACGATTGCAAAACTAGGGGAGAGGCGGAGGACAATACGAAAATATAACACAATCGAACAATGAATTGTGATGTTTTTTCCAAAGGAAAATACTTTGCCAGAGAGAGAGAGGGAGTGAGGGAGGAAGGGGGAAAGAGCTAAATAGTTGTAAAGTTGAACGCAGTAGGAACATAGTTTTGTTATTAATGAAATATTTACATTTCTGGAAAAATAGTGGCCTTTTCAGGATTATACGAATTGTTTGCTTGTACGACTAAGCGAGTTTTATATGATATTATTAAAATATTGTTTTTCTGTGTACGATTTTACATTATTAATTACACTGTGTATCAAGATCTTTGGGGGAGAGTAGTTGTAAAATTCATTATGAGGATAAAAGGCATTGGCAGAAGAACAAATTCGCCATAGTTTATAAAGAATAGACCTTATAACATTGTGGCTATTGTATTTTGTTAAACATATCCTCTTTCGATATCGTATCCTTGTACGTTTTTAAGCCATCTAATATAGTATGGAGGGCATAATAATTTTGTCATTTCCTTTTTTACTCATCGAAATTTTCATTTCATATTTTTTCAGGGTCAAATTATTGATCAGGTAGCCAAGTCCCTCTGCCTGTTCGTCTGCCCATCCATATCTAATCACACTATCGATAACCGAAGAAACTCAGAACTCAGGTTATATTCCATGTTGGGCTCCGAATGTGATTTTTAAGAGCTACTGAGCTAAGTTCGAAACCAGTAAGGTTTTGAACTATATCTAAATCTGAACCGATTTTCTCAAAACTTTTCACACATCATTCTAAACTTAATTCAGTACACTATGCCAAAATTCGTGCAAATCAAAAGTTTTCCAGGGACTTTAGTGGACTATTTACCTAAAATCGGGCGAAGCTATATATGGGATCTATATCTAAATCTGAACCGATTTTAACGAAACTTTGCACATATCATTCTAGACTTAATTTAGTACGTTGTGCCAAATTTCGTGCAAATCGAAAGATATATAGGGACTTTGGTGCACCATTTTCCTTAAATCCGACGAAGATATATATGGGATCTATATCTAAATCTGATCCGATTTTTTCCAATTTCAATAGGGTTCGTCCTTGGACCAAATAAATGAGCTGTGCCAAATTACATCCAATTCGGATCATAAATGCGACCTGTACTTTGTTTACAATTTAACATGGACAGACAGACGGACAGACATGCATAAATCGACTTAGAAAGTGATTTTATGCATATTCTCAAAATGAACCATGGGTCTATCTCGATTATTTTTGCCTGTTACAAACATATGCACAAAGACATAATACCCTGCACCACAGTGTGGTGAAGGGTATAAACACACACAGACACATTGATTGAATACCTTTTAAATTTTTTGCATCTAAAAATGTCAATCCTTTATATTTTTTAAAAAACCAATTGTACTTCGCCTAGGTGCTTAAGATAACACAATGGAATGGCGTTGTTTGATTAGGGGGTCAAGTTGCTACCAGCTGGGAGTGTCTATAGGTAAGCTCTATCGGCTATCAGTGACTACTTCGTTTCAACGCAATGTATTTCTTTGACCGATAATATTTCCAAAATGATTATTACAATATATCCGATTGATTTGGAAATGAGGTACGCCAAGACGCATTTCTAGAATTGAGGAATTGTAAAAAATTGGGGCGTAATTTCAACTTTTATTTAATATATTTGACCAATGTGTAAAAAATCAATCGGCCAATAATCATATAAATACAGCAGAATTTTGAAAGAAAAGTATCACAAACAATTACAACGTCGTGTCGAGTTCTTAACTTAGATAAACAAAAAAATATCATTAAAATGGCAAATTTATTGAAAATATTCTTCATATCCTTAATGGCCTGCTGCTCTAGCAATGGTAAGTGTATTGCAAAGGTAACTATACTAAATGTAAATGTCGAACTTATATCCTCCCTTAGCAGAATCATGGAACTATTACAACCAGGATAAATGGGAAATTTATTACATAGAATGTGGTAATCATAGGCAGTCACCAATTGATATAAATAGTCGTTTTGTATGTAATGTCATGATTTGGTCCCTTTTCTTGTTCTCCTCGTGGATACTTATGACTGTTTTGAATTATTCTCTTTTAGACGGTGTCCAGTAACGCAGCACAGCTTCTGACGACCAATGGCGATAAACCAAATAATGCAGACGTCATTGTCGATGGCGACTCCGTGATTATAAAAGTGTCTGACGCCGTTTTCCCACTCACATTGACGTACGGAACCGAAGAATACGATTTCGACAGTATCCACTTTCACTGGGCTGACAATTGTAATCCCTCGTCGGAGCACAGTGTTAATGGACAATACTTTGACATGGAATACCATGCTGTCTGGTATAACAAGAAGTATGGAAGTTTTGATGCAGCTTTGGGATTCGACGATGGCTTAGCGGTTATTGCTGAACCTGTTGTAATAGATGATACACTTCTTACTTCGTTTTTAACACCAGTCGCGCAATCACTTCCTCTTGCTGCTAGCACCGGCTCTGCTCCTTTGCCCGGTTTTCAACTTTGCAATTATGTGGAACCTGGTCAGCCAGGACCGTTGAAGGGCAACGTGTACTATTCCTATAGCGGTTCGTTGACCACACCAAATTGTGGTCCAGTCAATTGGATTGTTGATGGCGTACCTAAAAGAATTTCTCGAGGAGATTACAACTCGTTCGCAGGTTTGAATGGGGTCGGCGGAAATCCAATATGTACGAATGTACGATACCAGCAAGATCTCTACGGTCGCGAAATCGCTAAAAATTGGTATTAATCGCAATGTGTGTTAATAATGCACTTACAGTTTACATATATATATATATATATATAATTATTGCATCCGGTTATCTCAATGTTTATTGTAAATAAAATAAATTATTTTCAAAAATAATTTCATTAAATATTATTGGTACTGCTATACCAATCGAATTAGGTGTGATTCGAAATCACAAAAACAAAATTTTCATAATAGGGGTTTTCCCAATTTGCGGCAGATATGACCTCCTGAGCTGTTACTGGAAATTTTTTACAGCGTACCGAAGTGTAGTGTGTACATTTTTAACTGATATTAGCTAAGATTTTGATATAGCCTCATACTTATTATCGACCAATTGCATTTAAATGGTCCGATTTCGACGAATTTTTCAGTTGTTTTCCATTTTGTTCAGATTGAGATGTAGGTCCACATATTTTATGCTAATTGTTGTATGAGGGAGGAGGTCGACACTCATATTGTAACTTTTTACGATTTTGTGTAAGGAGTACACCACACCGAATGGCATGTATATGGATTGATTGAAGCCGGTCTACATATTGAAAGGTCTACGAGAGGAGCTACGTCTGTCCAACCAAAATCAGTAGAGTAGACATCTGTTAAATATAGTCTACAATACAAATCATACGGCACTTCTTGTGGCGTAGGGTACCGAGAAGTCGATCCTGTCCATCTTTAGTTTTTTAATGGTCTGTGGTGTGACTATTTTCTGACAGAATTACCGAAGATAATCTTTGGCCGGTAGATGCGCACGATAAATCTCGAAGGAAGTGACCGATTTCATCCAAAATATGCACATCGTAATATTTCTTCCAAACTTTGTTCAAGTTCGAATGGTTAAACAATTAATTTGTACACCCTATTATCTGTACCAAGCCTAGATCAAGTCCGAAAATGGGACCCATTTTTTCGTTATTTAAATACAGTCATGGATTTTTTGAAAATATTTTTTTTTCGGGGTCTAAAGACAAGCGTGGATTTTTACAAATATTTTTTTGGCGGTCTATAGACAAGCGTGGGTAATTAATATTACTTTTCGCGGTCTAAAGCAGACGTGGATTTTTTAAAGTATTTTTCGGGGTCTAAAGCCAGGCACGGAATTTCTAAAAATATTTTTTGGGGTCTAAAGACAGGCGAGGATGTTTTAAAACTTTTTTTGTGTGCTTTAAAGCAGGCATTGTTTTTTTTTTTAAATATTGTTTTCAGAAACGGAAGACAGTCGTGTTTTTATACTCTTCACCACGCTGTGGTACAGGGTATTATGTCTTTGTGCATATGTTTGTAACAGGCAAAAATAATCGAGATATACCCCTGGTTCCTTTTTGAGAATATGCATAGAATCGCTTTCTGAGTCGACTTATGCATGTCCGTCTGTCCATGTATTTTTGTTAACAAAATACAGGTCGCATTTATCATCCGATTTGGATGAAATTTGGCACAGGTCACTTAATTGGCCCAAGGACGAACACTATTGAAATTGGAGAAAATCGGTCCACGTTTAGGCATAGCTCCCAAATAAGTGTACCCCCAAATTTTCGGTATTTTGGAGGTTTTGATTGCATTTTTCGACCGAACTCGCTGAAATTTGGTACTTTGACTTCTTATTGGGTAGCAAATCTCCCTACCAAAAATTATAAATAAAGGTCAATTTTTCGGATAGCCCCCATAAGGGTACCCCCAATTTTCGGTATTTTCGGGTTCTTGGGCTCGTTTTATAACTGAATTCTCCGAAATATTGTACATTGGGTTCTTATTGGGTACCAAATTACTCCACTAAAAATTATAAATATAGGTCCAGTTTTTCTGGTAGTTCCCATATAACGGTACCCCAAAAAGTTTGGTATTTTGGGGGGTTCTGATCTATTTTTCGACCCAATTGACTGTAATTTAGTACGTCGAGTTCATATTAGGTAGCAAATCTCTCCACTATAAATTATAAATATAGGTCATTTTTTTAGGGTAGCCCCCATATAAAGGTACCCCAATTTTCTGTATTTTGGGGTTCTTGAACCAAATCCTTTTTATACCCTTCACCACACTGTGGTACAGGGTATTATGTGTTTGTGCATATGTTTGTAACAGGCAAAAGGGAAGGAGATAGACACATGGTTCCATATGAGAATATGCATAGAATCACTTTGTAAGTCGATTTATGTATGTCCGTCTGTCCGTCCATGTATTTTTGTTAACAAAGTACAGATCGCATTTGTGATCCGATTTGGATGAAATTTGGCACAGTTCTCTTATATGGCCCAAGGACGAACCCTATTGAAATTGGGAAAAATCGGTTCAGATTTAGATATAACTATTTTCGTCCGATTTTAGGTAAATAGTGCACCAAAGTCTCTATATATCCTTCGATTTGCACGAAATTTGGCATAGCGTACTGAATTAAGTCTAGAACGATGTGTGTAAAATTTCCTAAAAATCGGTTCAGATTTAGATATAGCTCCCATATATTTTTTCGTCAGATTTTATGTAAATGGTGCAACAAAGTCCCTATATATTCACCATTTCATGTTAATGGTCCTTCAAAGATGCTACGACTATTAGGATTCCATCTGTTGAATATACCCAAAGTGTTGAAGGGTATCATATAGTCGCCCCCGTCCGACTTTACTACTTTCCTTACTGGTTTTAAATATTTTTTCAGGGTCTGAGGACAGACATGTTTTTTTAAAATTTTTTGGGGTTCTAAAGACATACATTTCAGGGTTTGAAGACAGTTATGGTTTTTTTAAATATTTTTTCGGTGTCCAAAGAAAGGCGTGAATTTGTTAAAAATATTTTTTGTGTGTTTAAAGAAAGGCGATGATTTGTTAAAAATTTTTTGCCTGTGTCTAAAGATAAGCGTGGATTCTTTAAAAATATTTTTTGTGTTCAGGGTCGAAAAACATTTAAAATATTTTTTCAATGTCTGAAGACAGGCATGGGTTTTTTTTTAATATTTTTTCAGGGTCGAAAGACAGGCGTGGATCTTTTAAAACATTTAATGTGTGCCTAAAGACAGGCATGGTTTTTTCAATATTTTTAAGGTCTAAAAACAGGCATGTTTTTATACCCTTCACCACACTGTGGTACAGGGTATTATGTCTTTGTGCATATGTTTGTAACAGGCAAAAATAATCGAGATAGACCCATGGTTCCTTTTGAGAATATGCATAGAATCACTTTCTGAGTCGATTTATGCATGTCCGTCTGTCCGTCCGTCCATGTATTTTTGTTAACAAAGTACAGGTCGCATTTATGATCCGATTTGGATGAAATTTGGCACAGGTCACTTAATTGGCCCAAGGACGAACCCTATTGAAATTGGAGAAAATCGGTCCACGTTTAGGCATAGCTCCCATATAAGGGTACCCCCCAATTTTCGGTATTTTGGGGTTCTTGAGCGCGTTTTGCAACCGAATACGCTGAAATTTGGTACATTGGGTTCTTATTGGGTACTTAATGTCCCCACAAAAAATTATAAATATAGGTCCATTTTTTCGGGTAGCCCTTATATAAAGGTACCCCCAGTTTTCGGTATTTTGGGGTTCTTGGGCTCGTTTTATAACTGAATTCTCTGAAATTTTGTACATTCGGTTCTTATTGTGTACCAAATTATTCCACTTAAAATTATAAATATAGTTCCAGTTTTTCTGGTAGTCCCCATATAACGGTACTCCCAAATTTTTGGTATTTTTGGGGTTCTGATCGTATTTTTCGACCGAATTGACTTTAATTTAGTACATCGAGTTCTTATTAGGTAGCAAATATCTCCACTAAAAATAATAAATATAGGTCCACTTTTTCGGGTAGCCCCCATATAAGGGTACCCCCCCAATTTCGGTATTTTGGGGTTCTTGAACGCGTTTTTCAACGAAATACTTTGTAATTTGGTTTTTTTGTAGTCGTATATGGTAACAAACCTCCCTCCTAAAAATTACTAATATTCGCCTCCTTTTAGGGGTGGTCCCCTTATAACCACCATTTTATACCCTTCACCGCACTGTGGTATAGGGTATTGTGTCGTTGTGCATATGTATGTAACAGGCAAAAATAATCGAGATAGACCCATGGTCCCTTTTGTGAATATGCATAGAATCACTTTTTGAGTCGATATATGCATGTCTGTCCGTCCGTCCATGTATTTTTGTTAACAAAGTACAGATCGCATTTATGATCCGATTTGTATGAAATTTGGCATAGTTTCGTCCGATTTCATGTAACTAGTGCACCAAACTCCCAATAGTGGTCCGACTAAAGCAGTATTTTGCACAGAGTACTGAATTAGGTCCAGACTGATGTATGAGAAATTTTGTTGGAATCGGTTCAGATTTATATCTAAATATGCTATTTATAGTTTCGTCCGATTTTATGTAAATGGAGCAACATACTGCCAATATTTATCCGATTGAGACCAAATTTTGCACCGCGTACTAAATTAGGTCATTGATGAATGTGAAGTTTTGTTGAAATCGGTTCAGATTTACATATATAATTCCCATATATAGTTTCGTCCGATTTAAGGTAAATTGCGCACCAAACTCCCAATATTGGTCCGATTGAAGCAAAATTTTACACAGAGTACTGAATTAGGTCCCGACTGATGTATGCGAAATGTCTATATCTACAGGATATTGTAGATATTAACATGTCTTGCATGTACCCATAGTGGTGAAGGGTATCATATAGTCGGCCCCGTCCGACTTTTGAACTTTCCTTACTGGTTTTCAATAATTTTAGGGTCTAAAGACAGGCATGGTTTTTTCAATATGTTTAGGGTCTAAAGACAGGCATGGTTTTTTAAATAATTTTCGTGGATTCATGGATTTTTTAAAATATTTTGCTACGTTCAATTCGAATTTAATCTAGAGCGACATCTATTGTATTTACATATACGAATATATAGCAACAGAATCTGAG